GTTGTTATAAATTATTAGTTGTTTTCCCGCTAAAATTATAGCCTATTTCACCCACGTATGATATAGTTTCCCGTAATTGATAGAATTTTCAAGGTCAGTTTATTAGTTTTTGAAATTATTCGATGCAAACAAGCGATTAGTCAAAACTTACCACAAAATTATATTATAACTTAAATTCACAGTATTATAACTTTGAGAATGAGAAAATGATTTCTATAAACTGTAACATGCATATAAAATAAGATAAAAACACACACACACACACACACACTCAGGCTAAGGGAATGTGACCTAAAACTTGCCAACTAAAAGATGCAAACAATCTTTTAAAATTTTGATACCAGGGCCAAATTTGGGAACAAAATTTCAAAGAGGATCGCTGAACAAAAACTATTATATTCTTTAATATCATAGTCGTTATTATTTACATAATCTTATTTAAAAGAACACAAATTATATGTAATGAGCTCTGTTTTTTCGACATCTTAAGCAAATATTACACTTTAGTCGGTTTACACGAAACTATTGAATTATACAATATTATACATAATCATATCTATATCCTGTCTTAAAATCATACGAAAATATGTTGGCTAACTTTATTAACGTTTATCACGTTATACAGGTGCAGTGAAATAAATTTTAAAGTCAACAATATATTTAATGTTATAAAAATAGATTCAAAGTACGTTATCATCTTCTTTGAACTCAATAGCAATGATGACTTTATAAAAAAAGGAAATTATATACGGACCGCCAGTTAGATTATAGAAAAATTTAGTTTAATTAATTTAATTTAACGAGAAATGGCTTTTATAATAGGCATTAACGTTGAGTAGTAATTGTTTGAGTTCTCAGATATGTTGCATGACGTCAACCAAATATGTAACGTCATACGACAATATTTCAAATCAATTGTATTATCGTTATTAATTGATTACGCAAAAATACATGTTTTATTTATAATTTCATTAATTTCTACTTCAATTTTTGAATCTTATGTTTTATATAATTCTGATAATTTAATAATCATTATTACCATTATTAATAACGATGATATCAACAAATTTATTTAAAAATAATACAAAAGACAACGAAAATAACTTTTAAAATATTAACTTACAGTCAAAGTTCACTGCATTATCTTTTAAAAGTTATCCTGAAGCTATCAAGTAAAATTATGCACATAATTTTAAATTAATATAAAAGATTTGTATCATCCTGGCGCCGGCCCTGTTTCTTTCTATTGCCGTCTGGCGCGACCTATTTAAGGGATTGCAACATAGGGCCGACGCTGTGTGTGTTAGTATAGTCTAAACGGACATATGTAGTTTGCATAGGGTTGTCACAATTCGCCCTTTATTAGTATTTTATAGTCATGTAAATAAGTAATTGTTTCTTGATATTTTTAAACGACTTTAAAATTCAAAAGGATATATGTTCGACGGCGATGTATGTTTTATGTATGTTCTCCGATATTTCTGCCAATTATTGACCGTTTTTCTAAATTAATTTTATATTGTAATCCGGATACTTCAAAATTCGAAAATAACTGAAAAATACGGGTTTAGAAAACCTGTTATAGTCCGATTTTTAAAATAAAATGAACCGAACTGCGCGTTGCGACGCCGACACGCAAGCGTATCTGACTACTCCATTTCAAACACACTTAACGAAAATTCTGATTTAGTTCACTTCACCACTCAGTTTTCAAGAAAAGTTCAATCATCATCTTTCTCTTTTTGAAATGTCTGACTGTCAGCATGTATAACTGTTGACGGACTCGCTATTTTTTTACTTATGCATATTATTTTTTTATTTTAGTTTATTTTACATACAAAAACTATTTTGGAGGGAATGAACAACGCGATGGGGGTTCGAGCGTTTATCTGATATTCGCAATCTTAAAAAAAACCTTTGATCCCTTACAATTAACGATGTAAACTGTTGAACTCTTACAATTAATGATCTTACAATTATAATTAACGATGCTTCCATCCTAATTCGACCATGAGTCTCTCCGGTTGGACCTGATGCTCTCTAAGATGGCTATCATAGCTGATCTATTTAAGAACGCCCGCAAGCAAATAGCCCACGCCATTCCATCTGCGTAATGGTAGTGAATGGCATTAGCTGGCCGAGGTTTCAGGTCGTCACGCCTAGAGTCAAGATTACTCAAGATCTGCTTGACGATTCTGCTCAAAATTCCTTACTTGACTATTCACAGTTCTGTACTATTTCACACGCTGCGCTTCGAAATCCTCCCATTGAAAGGGTTCTATATATCGATATTTAATTTGGCACTTATAAACAACTTTATACCTGAGGAGTCTTCTGCCCTGTTTTCGCTTACCTTTTTGGATTTCAGAAAAGATGATTTGTTTCACCGTTCTCTTCTGCGTCGTACGCGATACATATGCGCATCCGATCTTAAAGCTTCAGTATGACGCACCAGATTGGACCATCTGATCTTCATGTTAACACTAACTACAGTTCTCGTTATATAAAATAACGAATATAGTTTTCACTATGTGATGGCAACCCTACTGGGAATGCGTATTTAGATTACGCGCACCCAGACGCCGTGCTTTTTTCACTATCTTTACGTCTATAATTGATCCGTTTGATTATTATATTGATATTATATCTTACATAATATAAATAATATACAAAACGATTAGATATTTTAATTTTTTAATAAAAAATAACAAAAGGCGTTCTGGGTACAAACCTAAATTTCATATGCTCGACTTTATCAAATTCATTTATATGCAATCCTAAATCTATACATATATCATAAAAATAGATTACCAACTTAAGAATTATTGTGAAATACGGGATTGCTACCACGTACCTTATATTTCTCGAGTACCCGATATTTCAGCGCTGTTGCAAAGTTGCAAACGCCATTATCACGGATGAATGATTAGTTTGACCTACATCAAAATCATTAGTTAGAATGATTGTGATGCAGGTCATGGCGCCAAAATATCGGGATCTCAAGAAATATAAAAAATAAATATAACAATGGTCAATACAAGAAAAAAACATTGTATCGATAGATAGAGTTCAAAACAAAATATAAACGAAATTCTTTGTATCCATAAAATTTTACAATTCTCTCTTGAACCGACCGAAAACAAAAGTTCAAATTTTATTTTGTTTTCTAATAACTCCGCTAAATCTCGGTCAATAAAGCTAAATATTATAAAGAAGAAAGTTTTGTTTGTTTGCATTGAATTGGTTCCGAAAGTAGTATTAAAAAAAATGTTTCATCTTCATGAAGCTTCATGTAATGGACGTAGCAACGGTAAAACATTCATAAACAAGTAACGTACCTGTATTTTATAATAATGCGGTAATCATACCTACTTCCAATTATTATAATATCGTATTCATGAAAATAACAGAAAAAAAAAGCTAATCATATCATATTACGCTTGGAATGCGATTTAATATGAGTCTAGTAATGTCTAACACATTCAATTATGGTAAGGCTGAGTATACACGGGAAACTTTAAGAGGCGTACACTAAAAATGAATTTATTTCATCTGGTTTCCTATTAAAAGAGAACCGCAAAATAAACTGTCATTAAAAAAATATATCTACAATATGTTTCTGAGCGTTTTATTAAAGTCAAAAAGATAATTTATTAAATTTTCTCGTTAGAAACACTCACAAATTTAGGTATACCTAAAATTCATAATTTTATCTCTTTTACAGCAAAAGTTGCTAGGAATAAATTGGAAACAGTTTTTACGTGCAACTTTAACTTAGTTACGTTCTATCCAGGCCCAGATCCCCTATGCTGGTCAACCATGGTAGCAACGGTGGCACCCGGGTCAAGCGCCCCCACTTGGGCCCTATATCCAGCTTTGTCGTTAGTTGCCGGGCGCAATGAGATAGAGAGAGTCTTTTGAGTTTATGTCCAGCCTTAAGATTACTCATAGACGCAAAGAATAAAAACCGAGATTAAATCAATAATTAATTTAATTAGATAGGGACAGAGGATAACTTGTTACAATCGGTGAAATAGCGTGTTAAAAATTATTATTAAATTTTTACAAAAATAAAAAAAATTGATCTCGATAATTGTTTATGTAACAAAACAAGAAATATCCTTATATTTCCACTAACTTTAAAAATCAGTAACTCGATTTTTTCAAAAATTAAACTGTATTTATTCAATATTATGGAGAGGAAATATTTCATTGTTTGTTTGTTTGAATCGAATAGGCTCCTGAAGTGATTTCAAAAAACCCTCCACTAAACCTACATGCATGCGTGGGTGACATTCGGCAGATTTCTAAACTGATAAAAATATAAAATCCCTACTGATTATTCTCAATAACTTAAGGCATTTTTAAGGCAAATTTCACAAGGCAAAGTCCTAGTTTCATCAAACTGATATCAACAGGTCATTAAAAGCCAAAATCAGAAACGTAAAGAGTTTTAGACGTGCTTAACTTTAAATTCAGAAATCGGATGTAAAGATATTTACGCAGACGAAGTCGCAAAAAGAAAAAGAAATCGCTGGAAAATAAAATAGAGAATAGCCTTTTGAAATAAAATAAAAACTTAATTTTGTTTATAATTTTTTGATTATTGAGATTAATTGCACTCACTTTTAGATTTTTTTTTGTTATAAAAATCTTACTTAAAGCGCCACAAACTAAATTTAGATTTGTGTGCTAAACGCCTTTAGTATTATTTTAGGACCTAATATAGAAATTAACCGCTAGTTAATTTCTATGTTTGATACTAAAATAACATTATTATATAATATTGATAAAATTACGCGCCATTGATAAAAGCTGCAATAAAAGACGGTGCATCGCCATCTAGCGTTGAACAGCCATATTGTATAAGTAGATGCTGCTATGGACAGTAGTAGACTAAAAAGCACAGCTACGACTTACTTTTTAAACACAATTTAGTTCACGCTTGTTACGCTAGATGGTGCTAAAATTAAGAAATAAGCAAAAACAATGAAAACATTTTATTTTGCAGATATAATGGCTATAAGTGTTTCCACACTCTCACTACTTGTGCTTGCTCGCATAAGGCTTTCTTCGGCACTGTTTTCATCTAACATAACATCTTGTAAAGCAAGGGTTTTGAGAAGTTTCTCCGATTCCCCACCTTCTTCGTCTAATATCCAATCGTTTATCATATTTGAAAGGTTAATTTCATCCATCATTTTATCATCAAGTGCACTGTTATTGGTTTCTATTATTGCGAAATTGCGACGAGTTCTAAATCCAGCTTCTTTAAGCTTCTTCTTTGCGAGTGCAATGAAGGAAGGCGATTTTAGAGTTTCACGGAGCCAATTCTTGATTTTATTTTTCTTATCTTCGACTCGGGCTTTGAACCTGTAAAAAAATAATAGCAATATCGCAGAGAGATGTATATAATTGTAATTATTTATTAAGAACGACTAGTCATACTATTATAACTTAATAAATAAAGGTTCTTTAGTAGCGTTTGACATATCAAGTAAATTTTTAAGATTAAAAAACATTTACTGCATATCATAATTTGTTTTGTCAAAATATTTTGTTTACTACAAAGAGTCTTTAAGTATCTATAACACAAGTTACTAAGAGGTAGTCGTATGTTATTCCAACCATAACTTAAGTTGTGAATAACAAGCATAAAAATAAGAATTTATGGGTTATTAAATTGAATATAACATGTTTTGAAAAATTCATTCCTCACTCAACCTAGTACCTAGGTTAAATTCGATCCCCTATTAAGATACCTACCTAAAATGTATCTCTTTCATAAATTTCATTGAACTTGCACTACAAAACGATGTTTGCTTACTGAAATTCATATTTCTAGGTCAACGGGAAGAAAAATTTCATTCCCTTGGGAATATTTAATTATATGTTTTTTTGAGGCATAAATATCGTATCTTTTTTTAAAATAATTTGGATTTTTTTTTTACAGCATGGATTTAAATTTCATCTCGATATGAAGATATCAAGAAGTGTGAAGACACTTCATGAAATTAAGGGTCTTTCTTCACAATTAATAAAGTAATTTTATAAGGATTCCGTTTTTCTTTTCTTTTGGTGTACCGGACCCCTAAAATCACAGTTGTCAAAAATAAACTAAAAGCAAAAATATGCCGAATTACAAATACAATTTTCATTACAGTCGAAGGATTGTTCTGCGGAAAATTTTATATATACTTCTGATGAGATCAGCGTCAGCCCCAATTGACAAACACTGAACTGGTCACCCTTTTTAGTGCAGTCAGAGGATGCTAAATTTAAAATGTCACATGATTAATCGAAATTTTAATGTTTCAATTATAATTATTTAAGATATATATATATAATATATATATATATATAGCGTGAACTAAATTGTTAATATATATATATATTTAAAACTTGTAATTCTTTCCTTTATCGTTCCACCAACACATACAACAAGGAATTTATAGATATGGACCTTTTTAATACATCTTTAAATTACTTCAATTTTTGGTGAATATCTGTTTGCGTTTTTTAATCGTAATAGTTTCATTTTGCTTAAAAACTAAAGAATATTTTATCACTGTAAAATTAAATGACTGTTTGATGCAAAAATAAATAACTAACAAAATTTGAAACCTGATGTAATACACAACCATTACAAATTTTACTAACAACATGCACTGTGTCCTGTGTCCCTGTTAAAATTATTTTTGTAATTTCTATTTACTAGCCTTTTTTTAAATGTCATCTACGTAAGATGGAGTTTTCGCGTAAGTGAAATGATTTTTAAAATCCACTATCTCCGGAGTTTATTCGAAGCAAAAAACAATAAACAATGAATCCTTTCCTCTTTATAACGTTAGTGTATGGTTCCCGACTGCAATGAAATTTTTCTTTATCTACTTAACAACCATAATATTGAAGGAGTTACAAATACTATGCCTAAACAATAACACGATAATTTTATATTCTATTAGACAATATGGTCAATGAGTAGCTCGGTGGCGTAGTTGATAAGCGCCGCGGCCCGCAATCGTAGTCGTTAAGCAACTTTCGCAAGGGTCGGTCACAGGATGGGTGAACAAAAAATTATTATCTCGAGCTACTCCGTGCTTCGGAAGGCACGTTAATCCGTTGGTCTCGGCTGCATTTGCAGTCGTTAATACCCTCCAATCGGCATTGGGCCAGCGTGGAGGGTCATGGCCCATCCTCCTTAACCATCCATAAGGAAGGCCTGAGCCCCTACAATGGGGACGTAAAAGGGCTGGTGATGTGATGTGATGGTCAATCGATATGACCTCCAGTTGTGCAAAGTCTGAGCGTTTAGAGTAAGTTTTTTTGACGTTTACGTTCATTGTCGATCGTGAGCGCGTTAAGATTTTAGTATCTAATCCGGTACAGCGCCTCTAGCGGTAACTACCAAGAAGTACAAATCTCCATACAAATTCTTAACGCGCTCACTAGTGAACGCGTCAGCGTAAAACTTATACTTACCACTCTGATGAAATTGTTATTAATTTAAAGTGACATAAGCAATACAAATTTATAATTCTAAACATAAAGTCCGATAAAGGATCGTATTTAAAACTTTGGCATTTATCTTTCAAATATGTTTTTTGTGATCTACTTACTTTTGCAGTTCCTTTTCCCTCTGCCTTGCCTTCTTAATTTTCGGCAGCAGTTCCGGGACCGTGCTTGCCTCATTAGCTGTTATAGTGTTTTCTACCCAATTGGTGACCTCTGACGCCTTGCTGTATACACCTGGAGACCTGGGATCTCCACACTGTTTACCACCAAACGAAACTATGCCTAATAATACGCCATCCCGAACAGCTGGTCCACCTGAATCGTGCTGGAAAAATTGAAACAAGAGAAAGACGTCAATCTGGAAACTTAAAAATGTCATTCGGTCCTTGTTTTTAAAGCAGCATATTAATTTTCAATGATAATTTTGAAGTTAATTATTATATAGAGAAAGAATTATGGAGGTCGCTACCTTCTGACTCCCTCATCCACATTAAAATTGCATTGTCTTTAATAGTATATGCATTACTATAATAGCTCGTACGTTGGTAAATCTTAGGTTTTACTAGTACATTTTGAGATTTACAAAATATATTGGTACGTAAATGTAAGAATTTTATGAAAAAGAAACGATTTTGTCGGTTTTTCTCATTTTACCTTTAGATTTTGGAATATGATTAGGTCGATTAATAACGGTTGATAAATGTTGGTATTGTAAACAAAACAATGAGTATTTCTTATTCATAAATATCAATGACCTATCACTCAAAGCCTTAAGTAATATTAATTATCATTTTGATTACATTTCTTAGATTATCATTAAAGATTCAGTCAAAATATTCTTTATTCAGATGTACTTCTTAAAAGTAATCTTGAATAGTCCAATATAAAATTTCTCCCTACCGCTCGTTTGGACGTCTTTTGGGTTAATCAGAAGAACGAGTAAGAAACTCACCAGCTCTAAAAGAATTAACGGTGTAGAAAAAATCATACCATCAGTAAACAATATATAAATAAATTGTAGGCATGACTGCAACAACTGATTTTTTAAATCCTAATTAGAATATATCATAATCGTTTATCAAATAACGTATCTAATTATATTATTAGATTCAATCTAAAGCTATACTGGAAAATATACTTAATGAAAAATGCTTAAGAAAATAATTTATCTGTTTAATTTATAGACCGTACTTGTGAGAACATCATGCTGGCCTAACCAGCAGAAATATTTATTGCACAGAAAAATGCGTCTACACCGTGTTATATATTTGGAGTTGTCTACCAACATTACCATAGTAAAACCTAAGATTTACCAAGTAGATCATGGTGAAAATTCGGTCAAATATCAGCTCAAATCAAATAACAGGAAAATGGGTCGAAACTTGCAAGATTCTCTAATTTATCTAACTAACTGTATTTGAGTGTTAGTTACACTTCAAGTATAATAAAAGCTTGTAAATATTTGTATTTTGCAAAGATCTAATAAAAGCATCTATTGATAGAATAGGGATGATGACAGTTTTTTTTATTTCACATGATCAATAAATTACGTTGATGCTTTGATTTGAAATGTCGCATTACGTCGCACCTACACTTCTTTTTGACACACTCCTCAACTTTAATGCCTATTATCTAAGCCTTTAGCTTTTTTTTTTTTTAAGTTACTATTCCAAATAATGTAATATAAATAAATTTCCCTAGCTATTTTTATTAAATTTATATTTTTATTAAATATATATCTGTAATTTGTTTTATGTGCCAATAAATAAATAAATAAATAAAACAACTTCAACTTCAGTTAAATTAAAGCAAAAGAAATATGCATTATATATTTTTCTATTAACTAAGTGGCGGATTAAATAGGATTTGGATTTTTATCCAAGGCAGCATTCCTATTATGATTTTAATTTTATTTCATAAAGTTATTTTTGTTCTTACGTTGCAGGCGTCTTTCCCACCGGTGGCGTATCCAGCACACAACATTCTTGGGGTGATGTAGAATCTGTAAGACTTCTGGCATTCGTTGATCTTCATCACAGGCACCGGAACGAACCGCAACCGGTCCGGGATGTGACCGAAGCCGGACTCCTGATGATGAATACGAACACATTAATAGGCTAGTAATGTTAATAATACGGGGACAGGTTTTAATAATATGCCTTTTTGAGCTTAGTTTTAAATATGAAGCCGCCACAATAATATATTTACGTTAAAAAATATTCAAACTATTTTCAACCGACTTCAAAACAAAAAGGGAAGCGTAAACCGACTTCAAAACAAAAAGGGAAGTAGACTATGCGTAACATATGTACGAATAAATTTTAATGTACAATTTATTTGATAGAGTACTTCCGGTCCCATAATTTGTATGGAAATTAGTGGCAGCACTTTTGTTTTTATATCAAAATAATATAAAAACAAAACTGCTGCACAAATTTCCTATGTTTTATATTACATTTTTTGGACGATTTAAAAGTGCTTATAACAAGCTTACTTGAATAAAGACATTTTCATTTCATTTAATTTCATGTCGTCTATGTAATTTGGAGCCGATTTTAGTTTTTGACAAAAATAAATTAAACCTGTTCGACGTTCTTAAACTATCTCTCCTTACAACGCTATATACCGCTTCCAGGCACGAAACAAAAAGTTTCATTAAAAGTCTTATGTTAAAACTGGATGTTGCACAAAATTTGAAAAAAAAAGAAATAGAAAAGTAATTAATACTTACATCAGTGCTTCCCCAACCAGTAACTAAAAGTATGTCCTCTTCTTTCACTGCATAATCTTTGGAAGGTAAATTTAGCACCGCAATATTTCTACCAATAGGCATCGGCCTATCTAGACGAAGCAACGAATAATCGTAATCTGCACTTCCTGGTGCATAATCTTTTGGGAAAAATACCTAAAAGAGTAAACAAATATATTACACACTAACTTCTTGATGCGATGTCACCCGCGTATAGCTTCTTTTGAAGAAATCATTTTCATGATCGGATCAGTATTTCCAAACATTACCCCCATATATACAAAGTAAGAAACTTTTTCTTATTTGTTTATAATATTAGCATATATATTGGGTTGGCACAAAAGTAATGAGACACACTAGAAAAATCTATAACATTTCCTTTTTAAAATCAATTTTTTCGATAATATTCTAGAATGTTGTAGAACATTCTAGGTACTTCTGGTGTAGGGTATATAAAGCCGCGCTCGCGATTTGTTTAGTCAGTTTGAAGAAAAATGGACGAGCGACAAGTTCGAACACTATACTTATACGAGTACTTGTTAGGCCACAGTGCGCGGGCTACGGTTGACAATATCAACAATGCATTAGGCGCTGGAAGTACAAGCCATGTGACGGTGTCCCGATGGTTTGACCGTTTTAAATCAGGAGACAGGAGCCTTGAAAGTCAGCTACGCTCAGGGCGACCACCCGCAGTGAATGATGATGATTTGCCCCGCGAACTGCAGTTGAATCCGGATGCTACCACTCGTGAATTAGCGGAAGCACTTAAATGCAGTCACCACGCCGTGGAACACCATCTGCATGAGCTTGGTTATCGAAAAGTTTTGGCTCGGTGGGTACCGCACATCCTTACAGACGCCAGTCGTGCAGTCCGTGTCGCTATCTGTCAGTCACTTTTGCTGCGACCCCGACGTAAAGAGTTTTTGTCAGATCTGGTAACTGGAGATGAATCATGGATTTATTACGAGAACGATACACGTCGTGCTTTTTGGCTGCCTCGAGAAGAAACGCCACCAACTCAACCGAAGCCGAGTCAAAAGAACCGCCGAAAAATTCTGCTTTGCTGTTTCTGGGATGCGCAAGGCATACTGTTTTATGAGCTATTACACAATGAAACTATAAACGCTGACAAATATTCAACCCAGCTTACCAAATTATCTGCCGCTATCAAGAAAAAACGACGAAGACGAGTCAATGTAGTTTTACTGCACGATAACGCTCGACCTCACGTCGCATCTGTGGTTCGCCGGCAGTTGGAGAACTTGGGCTGGGAGACGATACCCCACCCACCTTATTCCCCAGACCTCGCCCCATCAGACTATCATTTGTTTAGAGCCCTGAAACAGCATTTGCGGGGTAAACAATTTAATGATTTCTCTGACATAGAGGCGGAGTTGAACAACTTTTTCGAGGCACAGCCATCAGAGTTCTGGGCAAAAGGCATTCAAACTTTGCCGGATCGTTGGCAAGAAGTCTTAGATACTTATGGTAATTACATCATTGACTAAACTTTTTTTATTGTAATAATAATAAAAAAGTAAAAACTTAAACCAAGTGTCTCATTACTTTTGTGCCAACCCGATACATATAGCTCATATTCTTAACTAGTCTCGAAAGCTCTTGTTGTATGGAAATCCGGAACAATGAAGGCACCAAAACTATTAGACCCAAAGTAATTTATAAAATTTAATAACTTAATATAATTTAATATAGTGGTTACTATTCTGACATAAAATTGAATCTATAGTAATAAACTGGCAACAGCTTGAAGCTGATGTGTAAATCATTCGACCATAGAATGTCGAGGGCACTTTTATATATTAGGCATGGGATTGCGCACCCATCTGCAATTTTTTCGGCATAAGTGCTACATTGCGAAACTTTCCAACAAAAAGAAAACATTATATGTCTACCTTATTCACTCTAGCCTGATATCCTCCCCGATTGTGGAATGAACTTCCTGCTCTAACTATAAATGGTTGGAGCTTTTTCTTGCTGCCATCAAATGCTCTGTAACAAAACACTAAGGAGGTTAAATATAGCCTTGTCACAATTGATACTATCTGTCTACATCGCCAGAGGTATTGTCTGAAGATATAATTAGATATATATTTTTCCACAGTTGAAAAAAAGACAGAATAATAACATATCATTTCATTAGCATTCAAGACTCGTTTTTTAATGATCTAAGTTAATCGATACACCGCATGAGAGGACACTCTCGATCACTTTTTGGCCAATTTCAGATCTGGACTCAGTTTTGACTATTTTAAGAATAAAATTTAAGTTTTGACTATTTGAAGAGATTAATAGTAGACACATTATTGGTATCGATGGTAAATTTTTACCATAATAGAGTATTTAATGACAGCACTTGGCAAAATAATATATCTGCCTATGCGTTTCTACAGCGCTTTGAAGACCCAAAAGGCCAAAAAGGAGCCAGTGTCAAAACCGGGTCAACTGCTCTATTGCTTACAAGTGTTATGAAAATAAAATGAAAATGTTTTTATTCAAGTAAGCTTGTTACAAGCACTTTTGAATCGTCCAAAAATATTTTTTCCCCTACCACTTGTTCAGGACGTCTTTTAGCTGACAAGAAGAACAAGCGAAAGAAACTTACCAGCTTTTTATCATAAGTAATGACATTAACATAAATCATGTCATTGCCAAAATAATACATATATTGTACAATAATAAATACAAGTTTCAAAGTCTGTAGGACATAGGTTGGTACATACCTATAATTAATCGTTATAGAACAGAGCGAAGGCTATTAATTCCATGCATTGATCATCAACCTTATAATAGCCTTCACTCATAAGTATATTCTTTACATGAATTTGAAATTTATTTATGGGTAGGTCAATTACATTTTGTGGAACTTTATTGAACATAGCAATACATTTACCCAGAAATGATAGTCTGGTTTTTTGAAGTCTGAAGCTTGGAACGACAAGTTTATTTTTATTTCTTGCGTTAAGATTATGAACACTACTTTTTTTATTAAGGAATCGTAATGTTTTCTTGTGTACAAAATATTCTCATAGATGCATTGAGAGGCAGCAGTTAGAATATTTATTTCTTTAAATATTTCTCTGAGAGATTCCCTAGACCGTAAATTATATATAGAACGGACAGCTCTCTTTTGTAGAATAAAAATATCCTGAATGCTAGCCGCAGAACCCCACAACAATATACCATACGTCATTACACTATGAAAATAATTAAAATATACCAATTTTGCCGTTTTAACAATTGTGAAGAGTCTAATTTTCTTAACAGCAAAACTGCAGAACTCATTATAGACACCAAAAAGTCCTTTCAAAATAAATAGTCATCCATATATCTAAAAGAAGTTATAGTGACCAACACATCTGTAAAGCATAATATTAAAAAAGAATGTGTATATACTCACGATTCCAAACAATGCCCAGCAGTGAGGACCCACTGTTCATCTATAATGGAACCACCACACCAATGCTTGCCGTTTCTAGATATTGCAACGTTATAAGGGTACATGCTTATGCTGGTTTCCATGCCACCTACGATGCGGCGGACTGCGTAAGAACGAAATGCCAAAGCAATGTGCTTGTCCTCTGAAAACAGTAAGAACTGGTTATAGTTTATGAGTCTTAGTATTATTCGTTCTTCATATCAGCCAAAAGGTTTTACAATTCAAAAGTACTTTAAATTTAATAAGTTTATTTGAATAACCATATTTAGGCTTTGACTTCGAAGTAACGGACATCATCGTATCTTGTAAAATTCACTTCCTTATTTGTGAATATATGAAGTATAGATAAATAAATAATTCATTGCACAAACATCAAAGAAATAGTTTAAAGACCATTTTAAGGATCTTACAATAAAGTTAAATATTTAAAACGCATCATGATCACGATAAACTAAAAAGCTAGCAATCGGATCTTATGGAAATTTCACATGATTCATGGGTAATGTTATGCTGAATATTCAATTAACATTATATTTCAATTTGATGACAGTAATGTCTAAAACTCATGCTGAGAATTAAGTTTACTACGTGTTTTTCATTATAAAAAGTACTTTCACTTTCACCAGCCCTTTTACGTCCACACTGCAGGGACTCAGGCCTTCCTTTTGGATGGTTAAGGAGGATGGGCGATGACCCTCCACGCTGGCCCAATGCGGATTGGAGGGTATATAATAAGGGTATATAATAAAAAGTACACCTTAACTTAATTTGGAAAAAATAATGGAACACCACTCAACCTAGAGATTTTCTATCGTCATTCGAAATCCTAAACCTCGTCGATATTTCATCGTTCTTAAACTTATATTTTTCTTCAAGCAACGCTTTTATATCGTCTCCGTCATCTTGATTAGTATCATCATAATCTGATTTCGTCCTCAGAACCGATTTCTCTACAGATTCTGTGTATTCATTTTCTTTGTATACAGCTGGCTCCAAATTTTTCACGTTCACAAATTTATCTCCGTTTAATTCTATCACTTCTAAAGTTTTCACATTACTTAAATAGACAATGTTTATTATTAAAGCTACAATCACTTGTCTGTCGATATATACTTGTTTCGTAATCATTATTTTTTTATAGTTTCATCTTAATATTAAAGATAGCATTATATATGTGTCTTCTTTACGTGTTTCTGCCGAAGAAATAATGAGTTTTATAATTATTCGATAACATTTTTATGGTGTCGATTTACGACCGCTTGGATCGTAAAGCCGGATGGTTATTTTTTTTTTCTACTTACTCTGCGGATTTGGGAGGTTCATTTATAAGCATTTCGTTTTAGTATATTGTTTGGTTTTGTAATACGATTTTGTAAAGTACACAAATAGTTGGTGAAGGTTAAAATGAACCTTGGTAGGTATTGTTCTGTGTTAAATTATTTCAAATACGACAATCTGGTGTGCGAATGGCTGACAAGTCAGTTTCAAAGGATTTCTAACCCTCAAAGAAAAGGTTCAAAGTTAATATGTGGTCAAAGTTAATATGTCGAGCGAAAATTATTTACGGTGTCAATTTAAAATAATCGTTTCTTACTGTTGTTATTCTGCTGTTCCAGATTTGTTTAACACAAGAGTCTTTTAACTGAAGGGAACTTGCCGTAACACTTATTCGACTGCGGATTGCGAACACAAGCGAGTGGTTTCGGGCGCTCCAACTTCCAGAACAGTAGAAGTAGCGGTTGGTCTACACTTCAAAATCTTCCGTTGTTGTTATACAGAATGTTTGGAAATACATGTATAATCCCGAAACATGGCCATACAACTTAGCACAAAGAACATAAATAATATGTCAAAAAACAATTTCACGTAAATTGAAATTTTCATACAAATATTTGAACAATTTGTTTTTAATTAATATTCTACAACCCTGAAAACTTATACGTGCCGTCCCGGCGTACTCACTCCCTCTCTCTCTCTCTCTCATTACCTCTCACTCTCTCTCGTTTCCTAGAATACACTTTGATTTCGCCGACGCGCGCACTTGACTACGTATGAGATTACTTGTAATTAAAACAATTTAAGATCATCGTCATCGATTTTATGTCTCTGTCGCTCCTTCTTGCATAGACTAATGTGAGCAATAGTGCAGATATCGAACTTCAATCAAAGTATTTTCAATTTCTTTTTTATTTTGACTGTATTATTAAAGAAGTTTTCTTAATCATAGTTTTCGAAACATCGGTAATCACAAGATTGGTGTACTTTTATGGTTAAAAGTCTTTTTTTTTATTTTTTTATTCTAGATAGGCAAGCACTTGACCTCAGATCACCTGATGATAAGCAATGCAGTGGTCTAAGATGGAGCGTGCTTGCCTAGAAGGAACCGATTCACTCTTGACTTGAAGAGTCCCAGATTGTATTTGCCCGGAAACAGCGAGTCTGGTAGCGAATTCCACAGCTTCGCAGTTCGCACGATGAATGTAGAGGCGAATCGTTTGGTGCGAGTTTGTGGAATCTCCACAGTAAAGCGGTGACGCTTCCCAGTACCTCTGGTTGTACGATACTAACTTTTTCTTTTGAAATAATAAATTGCTCTTGGATGCATATTTATTCTAGGCATTTATCTTTAGATTTATTTAACTTTTGTTATTTTTTAAACTTTTTTTTTTTTTAGTTCAAAATTTTAGTTAGTTTAAAAGTTAAAATTTTTTTTTTTAGTTCGGCACATGGAGTCGATGACCAAATACTGGGTTGTCAGCGTACAGTTTTACTTTGAAGAAAAAAAGCTAAATATATGTGCTGGGTTTCAGACTTAGTGATCATTTTTCTGGGTTCTATTCATCATAACGTATGTGCCATATTCGGGATTATACAAGTATTACCAAACACGCTATATAAGAATATTATTCTCCTTAAAAAATAAAATCTAATGTAAAATATTTTTCCCGGACAAAAGCTGTATTGATTGGAGGACCTTATAAAAATGTTTACGTAGGAAACCGCTTAGTGGGATGAAAAGTAACATTTATATTAATTCCGGCTTAGAATTATCCGAATACCAAATTACATCAAACTCTGCTTAATAGCTCTCGTGTCATAGAGTAACAAACATAATATTAAAAGGATTATTTTTTACAAGAATAGAGTTCGATATTATTATATATATTTATTTTGATTATTCTTTTTGTAATGTTTTGTGGCACTGTAAATGTATATCTCGAGTTACATTAATATAAATCGATAATGTACTAAATATAATTAAAGAAGTTTTATAATTTTACATTATTATTTAACCTAAGTTTTATGCTGTTTAACATAACCATACCAGAGTGGTGTATTGATTTTATCTTATGGTTTTATTGTCAAGATTATGGTATTCTTTAACTTTTAACGTGTTTGCACCATAGATTTACTATCTTCTATTTGTATATTGAAATGTAGTAAGTTATTGTATATTAGCTGTTTTACCACGACTTCACCCGCGTATGATGTAAATTCCCGAAGAAGTTGCATAATCAGATCAGTGATCATCATCCGAAGATTACTCCCTACAAACAGAAAAAGTTAGAATAGTAAGGTAATTTTCTCATTCTTTATGTTATTACTTCATAAAACTATAAATATATAGCACAAATCCATAGAAAAAAAAAGACACAGTTTCAAATTCTTTTAAATTTCCTCCTTGCTTTTTGTTTGCTTTACTCTTTGCTTTGCTCTCAAATATATCTATGATCAAATCTTTGTAGACTTCATTAAACTCAAGAGAAAATATTTGTACAATTGATGTGTACAATAATTATTATTCGTTTTATTTGTAATCGTTAGTATATACATAATCTACGCCATATGGACTAAAAGTTTGGAAAGTATCAAAATGAGATGACAAAAACTATGGCAACTGTGTTGGCGTTATCACTTTTCGTTAATGAATTCACTATATTATACAACGGTTAGTATTTTTCAGCAATCAATATTTAAAAACCACATGTTACTTTAACCTAAAATTTTGCTGTTGAATTTAAAAAAAATACCGTTAGTTATAGCTATATCTCCCAGCATAACACGGCAGGTTCTGTTTTTAATGTTGTACGACAAAGTGAGTGCAATGCACTTAATGGCAAATGGTAATTGTCTAAAATTTTACCTGATTACCCTTTGTATCTGGGAGATGCAAAAGCCAGCTGCTACAATGGGTAAAAGACGAGATCAATTTAAAATCGCAGCTGATGTCTGTAATAGATTTTTGTCTTTGCACAAGGCCAATTAAAGTTGAATTCCCACGTTCGGTGAAATTGAATAAGGAGAAAGACGAAAGACCGTGTGATTGATCTGTGGTAATGAAAACCAATCGCTGTGAGTGCGTAATGTTGAAGATGAGCATGCTCATTTATGTGTTGACCGTCCGTGGGAGGGATCTTTAATATCGTGGATAATTGCATGATCTACAAGAAACTGTATCTTGTCCGAGCGTTGGCCACTTGAAATTTGACTTGAAGTTGGACTGGAAATAAAAAGTTGCTTGCTTTTTTTTATTAAAGAACCTAAAGTTTAATAGCAAAAACGATGTGGATATTCCAGTGGACGTGATAAGGTCGTAGGCGTGAGTGATCTTATAAGAGCAATCAAACTCAAATTCATTTATACATAGTTTAAGTTTAAGTTCTTACAAATAATTGTGAATGTTGAGATAGTGTGGCTACAGTACGCAAATCTACGGCGAATACTGTAAAGAACTGACAAGAAATTTAGCAAGGGCTGTGTTTTTCTCCTTGTTTTATTTCTATTATTTCATATAAAAAGCTTAATTTAAACATGATTTCTTTAGTCTGTAGCGTTTTCCATACGTTATTAATCTAGACCATGCTATTCTAATGATAATAAGATAGGAACGTTTCAAATATATGTATTTTACGTCACCAAATTGCGTAGAATCTCTAGTTGATATGTTTTTACTGACGACGCTACCAGAGCCGCTGTGAAAACACCCTAGCGAGAGTTCTGAATTTGTTGAAACTTGTATAAAAGGAATATTTGACTTCAATTACTACAACACTTCTAGTTATTAAATATTTTTTTATTATTTTTAGTTCAGACTATTAAGTATGAGCATTTTTCTTCAAACCTGGTATTCCTCATGGCAGTCTGTTTGCTGTTGAAAAGAGTGAATATCTTTCCGAAAATACTGTGGAGTAAACTGTCACCGATATGTTTGGTCTTAGAAGTAACTTAAATTATCTCACTTTTCTATAATTATAGTAGTAAAATTTACTTATTTTTATTAAAATGCTAGATCAGTTGACCTGGAAATGCCATTATTAAAATTTTAAATTATTATTATTGGGAAACGGCCTTCTCTATGGATGGAATCAAATCGAATAGGGAAAATTTCCTATGTATGATCCACTTCGCAAGCCCAAACGGATTGAAGGGTGTTAACGGCAACAGATGCAGCGGGGACAAACGGTTTAATTCCTTACAAAGAACGGAAGAGCTTGAGATAGTAAATTTTTGGTCACCTATCTTGTGACCAACTTTCACAAACAGGCCGGTCCTAATACAATATTAAGATAAAGTTTATAGATAGAACGATTTAATTACTCTTGATAATTATGATATATTTGTCATATGTCATTTGATACATACACCAGGATTTCAGCTTTTTGAAATGGTGAAAATTTATTGTTCTTACAGATAATAATAACGTTGGTCATCCTCGAGTGTTCTCTTTTACACATTTGGAAGCAAGTTCAAGATTACTTACTCCTCAACTCGGATGGGCTCCTGGTATATTTCTCTGAAAATCCAAGCTTTGAATGGTTGGTTTGTCACTTATGCTGTGGTAAAAGCAACTGTTCTGACACCTTTGGAGACTTGGTCCTCAAGTTTTCGAGTTTTTTAGTTTTACTAGTCTGCTGTTGCTTCATAAACTGACGATGAAAAAAATAAACAATATTACCGTAAATAAAAAGATTATTTTTCCTTTTTCATTTGGTCATTGAATTTCAAGTTTAATAGATGTATGTGAGTACTCACTTTAGAATTAATAAAGTACATTATTATTAGTTCTCTCTGAAAGCAATAAATAAATAAAACTTACGGTCATTTGCACTAACATCCATTTAGATTTAATGATGCCTTTAAGCTGTAATGAATGTTAAAGTTGTATCGGTACCGGTATTGTACCGCTATGTCACTTTAAATTAATGTCAATTTTCAAATTCAAGTAATCCGCCATGCTGGAGTCTTCAATCTTCAGTTGGCCGTCTAAAGTGGGCTATGACCTATCTATAGGTCTATATATCTTTAAGTATATTATCGGACCTATCTATAGGT